GAGCGGTATGTATACCACATATTCTGTTAGCCCAACCCTGCAACCATAAATGTGTGCAACATTTGTGTGTCCTATAATGCATTGTCTGGTTGGTGGTTTGGGTGTCTGCATGGAACTGGACACACAAATCCTGTGAATGATGAGCATCTCACTTTTTATATATTGTACAGAGGCAATTCATTAGGCTAACTGCTGTTGGTGCAAAATATATCACTTTTATTAAATAAATAAAAAACAGACTTGTTTACAAAGTGAATAAAACTGGTTAGATTCTAGAGATGAGTGAAATTATACTGTAATAACAGTATGTAGTTACACAGCTGGTGACCACTACACTTGAATATATGGTAAATTAGCAAGGTAAAGAAGAGGAGGTAGACAAGTAAAGAACAGCAACGAAGGAAACACTTGAGCATATTACGTTAAACTTCTTGCAGAAGTGCAGAGAACACACTATTTTCACTGTTGGATATCAGTCAAAAATCAAGGATTTTCTAATATGTATAGTAACGGATAATCCCTGTCCCTCTTTTTCCTCTTTGCTTTATGTCCCTGGGGTTGGGTATTGCTTCAGTTTTATCATTTCCAAGTCAGATTATTTATTCTGGGTTGAGATTCCAGTATGTTTCAGAAAGGACAAAAAATGAACCAATATTTCAAGAATAAAAATGAGTCTTCCTTTATTCTCAGCACATGAAGGTTATAATCCCGTCAAATGTGACAGAGGTCTCTGTTTCCTTTCATTTATAAAAAATTCTATTATTCTTTCTTATAAGGAATATCCATCAAAAACAAATATAATCCAAAGCCATTTAAATAAATAATGGAGAAAATATGAAGCGACTGGACAGACTATTCATGTTTTGGTAACATGGCACTAGGTCTGCATAGCAGGTCCTGGCAGAGAAGTGAAACTCTACCGACTGTAAAGCTCATCGCGGTTCATTCGGGAGCCCGACTGAAATATGCAACAGTTAGGAACCGAAACAGAGTTAATGAATCCACAGTTCTTGGAAATTTGGAACCTGGAACCGGTTCTTGATACCCAACCCTGCTGTACGTATCTCCTCCCTTTGTTTTTACTCTTTCTTTTTTTATCTTCCCACCTCCTCTCATACAGATACAGATCCCTGAAATGCAGAACAATCAGAATAAGAATTAGAATCGGAAGCAATGCACGTTTGATGTTTAGATCTTTTAGAGGTGTTTTATTTGTATATTTTTACCGAGGAGATGCCAGACATATCTTCATTGTCCATCTATCTATGTATTTATCTCTCTCCCCTTCTCTATACTCTTCACTCTTCTTTAGGTAGAAATACAAAATCCGGAGCATCATAAAGAATAAAATGTTGAGTGATTGGACATATTTGATTTGGCATCACTTTGTCAGTGCAGAGGCTGTCAGTCTTTTCACTGATGAACTGTTTATGCTAATGAGCCAGGTTTCTAAAATATGTACAGATTTGCTCTTCTTGCCATGGATAGTTTCTGTAGACACATAAGTACACACATAACCATTTCAACCTGCATGACCGTGTCAATTTAAATAAATGGAAAGTATTTTTGAGCCTCTAAATAGTTGTTCTCCAAGGAAGTTTGTTCTTCAGTAATGAAAGAATAGCAAGTCATCACTTTGCCGACACTTTAAAAGACATTTCAAACTATGTTGTTTATTTTACTTCCAGGAAAGAATATCTGTTGAATATCTGTTACTAATTTCTCCGGGGATGTGTTTGACTGTTTTGACTTTTGGCACGTATTTAGTTATGAAACATCAAAACAAATTTTATCATTATTCATAAATCCTTCCAAAGTACTTTATTAATCCCGATGGGAAATTGAATAAGTGAGGAGGGCTGCAAAAACTTGTGTGCTGTGGATGTTAATGAGCAGTTTGCACTCATTGGGATTCTTCTTGATCATTGCCTTTTTAACCAAATCACTGAGGGTCTTTCAGGCTCCTAAAAGCCGTTCATCTTTGTGAACATATGCCTTTTAAATGAAGTTCAAGTTGAGTCTTAAGGCCAGTCTCTATTTACATCAGGTGCAATATCACCCCCTTGTGGTAAGGGTAAAAACCACAGTCCTCAGAAGTACTGGAAAGGAACTAAGGTCCATTCATATGAACTCAGACTTTAAAAACTACCATTAAAAAGTTTAATAATGTTTTGCATTGATTGTTATAAACAGTATCTAGAGTTGTAGATCTTCAGTCAGCCATAGTGCAGGTCAAGGTTTGAATTACTCTCGTACTTTCATCTGTCACAAAGACATAGCCCCGATCATGGGGAGAGAGACACTTAGCCAATAATACCAAATAGTGTAAGAACAAAGAAAAATCTAATTTCATTGTGAATGAACTGATTTGCTTTATAATTCATTTGTCACTGTGTAGAAAAATGACTATGGGAGGCTTCTGATGAGAGAGAGGCTGCTGAGCTGAATGTGCTGTCTGGCTGTGCTCTTCCTTAGCCAGTCATGGAGAACCACTGATCTTACAATAAATATGCATAGGTGCCCATAAAAACATATAAAATCAGCCCATGAGCCATGATAAATAAAAATCATCCTGCACGTGTTTGTGATTAGTCATGTTACATGTGGTACTAACAGCAGATGAAGCCCGATGCACTAAACAGGCCCCCCAGGCCTATCCTGGTTTTCAAACACTGGTACAACTCCCTTAGCATTGATGTGTTTGTATTTTCACCAAATACTGCTGATTTTGTTATACTACACAGCCTTATGCTGGTTTACTTGCCCCTTGCATGGGGATATGTACATATACATTGAGAGCCGATGTACCAGAGTCAAATTCCTCGTGTGTCTGACACACCTGGCCAATAAAGCAGATTCCAATTCTGATCATCTTAAAATGACTGTCTCACATGTCTAGGCCACTTGGTTTAGTCCAGGAAGGTCAGACACACCTGGCCAGTAAAGCTGATTCTGATTCTGATATCCGAATGTCTTTATGTTCGTATAGTCAGTTTTTGCATCAACTCGACTGTTGCAGTTTCTTTTTTGCAGTGCATTTGATATAATTTGACCACAGTCAGATAAAGGTGTGCTATGTATGCTTGACATTATTAGTCAGGTTAAATATGCAGCCTTAAATAATTGATCACTGGTGTTAAGGTGTCCAAATAGGAAAATGAGTGATCATTTATAGCGAAATGTTTTACCAATGATCTTTTTTTCTCTCTGTTATTTCTCTTTTAGACACCCAGGCCTCTAAACATCATAAAGCAGAACAATGGTGAACAAATAATACGACGTCGAACCCGTAAACGCCTCAACCCTGATTCACTGTCATCTGAAAACCCTGCCCCCAAGCAACAACGAATCACCAGCGAGGAGCGGATGAATGGCGAGGAGTCGGACCGCAGCTGTGCTTCAATCAAAACCCAGCAGCCGTCCCCACGCTCGCGCTCACCCCGATCCACTCAAGCCTTCTTAGCCAATCAAACATTGGAGATCCACAGACGCATGCCTCCTCTTCTCCTCCCTTCACATCCTACTTCCTCGGTAGTGCCAGAGGGCAATGGGGGCATCACTGAGGGAGGGATATCATCAAAGGTAGAGGGAGGTAAAGGAGGAGGGGGATCAGAAAGAGGCAGTCCAATTGAAAAGTATTTACGTCCCTCCAAGCCATCGAGCTATTCACCACCTGGTTCACCCATCGAAAAATATCAGTATCCTCTTTTCTCCTTACCCCTACCATTAACCCTCTCACCTGATTTAACCCCCGAGTCAGATTGGCTCAGATTCTGGACCAAGTATAAGATGGCAGCCAACTCTGGGGTTCCTGGTAGCATCAGTAGTCTAAACAGCCCTGGTAACGCTCATTATCTTGGTGCAATGGTGACTCCAGTACAGCATCATCAGCAAAGCTACACGGTGCCTTATTGTGCCTCTCCTTACTCTCCTCTTCCACCCCCACCAGCTCCTCCTCACTATCCTCCTCCACCTCTTCAGCCACAAACCTCCTCCTCATCATCATCATTAGACAATGACGCTCCTTTGGATCTTGCAATAAGACAAAGAGATACAAGTTCTGCAAATGCGCACATGTCAACGAATGATGCAGAGAGGAGAAGGCAGGAGTCGCCACTCACTGAAAGGTCGAGGGAGAGCTGGAAAGCAGAGAAAGAGGATGAGGAGAGGTCAGATGAAGGAGGGAACCAGAGAGATGAGATGAGAAAGGAAGATAAGGATCATTTGACCAAAATTCAGTCAAGTGTTTCATCGAATCACACAACAGCGGAAGTGGCCACGCAGGATGACCTGACCAATCGCTGCATCCACTGTGGAATCTACTTCCTAGATGAGGTCATGTATGCCCTGCATATGAGTTGCCATGCTGACCAGGGACCATACCAGTGCAGTTTCTGCCTCCACATGTGTGCGGATCGCTACGATTTTACCACACACATACAGAGGGGCTTACACAGGTACACAGATAAGACATCGCAACAGAAGGTTCACACGCAGGATGGCAAAATTCAAGGTGTCCCAGTGATGTCAGAGCATGATTGTCAAAGTGGGACCGTAGTGGAAAATGAGGGAGGAGATCATAATGAGATCACAAGTGAAGGTGATAAGATAAGAGTCTCTCATGATGATCAAGCAGAAAAAACTGTAGGCAGTGATGCCAATGGTAACAAAACAGGAGCTGAAAAGGACGTAAGAGCAGAGAGTCATGACATAACAGACCAGGAATTAGGAGGCAAAGTGGTGTTAGATCACAGTGATGGCCTCACAAAAACCATTGAGGTCACAACTGCTGAGTCTAAAAGCTTAGATGAGAACACAGAAAGTCATTAATCCGATGCCTTTGACTCAAACAAATCCGTAAGAAAGTGTTTCATTGGGTGAATAAGCTGTTTGCCTCCATTTTTCTGGAGGTTAGCTCATGTCAAAAATGGGCCTATCCTGGGCACTAATGGAACACATCCTTATGCTGGAAGCGCTTTGGCTGTCAAACGGTCAAAAATCATTGCAGGATCCCGCTGAACTGCTGCAGGGACAGTTTGGGGAAATAGCCCGAATCCTGTGTTGAGTGACTGTCACTTGATAACTCTGTGGCAAGTATTCAACAACAGAGTCTGGGCATGCAGCTGAAATCACCTTTAATAAACAGCCACTTCATGTGCTTTTCCAATAAAAGGACTGGAAACACAACAGAAAGTTGGACTGGGTCTTATTTTGGATGAGATAGAGGAGCTCAGCACTTGCACAGCCACCATACAGCAGAGCAAAAAAATAAGAAATGCCAGAAGTGAAACACATAATCTGAACTGAACTGAGCTGTTCTGTTTTGCACCATGTTAAACTGAAGCCCAAGCTTGACCAGGCTAGTCTGATGCATCATTCAGACTGGTTTCTCTTGGTACGACCACATCTGATCTAGTTAGAACTGCTTTGTTCTGGTTCAGGGGAGGTTTCTGACTGTTTTTCCGCTGTGCCAATGGATTTGAAACCAAAACTTACTTTGACTGTTTAAAACTGGTCAGAATTAAACCAGTTTGTCATGGGCTGCAGTTCAGCTGGTGTTAACCTTGGTACAGAAAGATTGGTTGGTTTCTTTCACTTGTGCCCTTTGTTATTGAAATGAACATGTTCTTGAGTCAGTGGAAAATCACCATAGCTGCAAAGTGGCCCAGAACAGGAGACTGCTTTGGTTTGACTTGACAGTGACATTTTGAACTGCTTAAAGCCAGTTTTAACTGGTACATCCGGCGTAATACCGGACCAGAGTGTTCTCTTCGTTGATTTGGATTGAACTAAGTGACATTACTTTTTACCTTCCTTCGTGCCATGATACTAGCTATGTGCCTGGCTGCCTGCCTAATAGAACAACCATCTATTAACCTGCTTAACATTTATATTAATAATAATAATAATAATGATGGTGATGTTATAGTACAAAACATGCAATTTGCTACATTTTCTTATATAATATGTTATTTTGTAAATTCAAATAATGCTTTTTTGCAGGAAATGGTACTATAAAAATTAGACTTTTTTTTTTTTTTCTTGTTTGTTTTTGTGCCGTCTGTGTTTGAGTTCTTAAGGAGACCTGTTAAATCGATAACAGCCGTCTAACAGAAGTGGTACCGGAAAAGAGGGGGTTGTGTGTTTGTGTGCATTTGTGTAATTGCATTTATGTGTGTGAGGATCAAAGGATGTTTCCGTCCCCAACCGATGATATAAATGTAATGAAGGCATGGTTTTTTCAGTCCTCAGGGGTCACACGTGTTGCACACCAACCCACCCGTTTCATAGCATGTGACACATCATTTTTACATGTTAAAAGGTTTTAATGGTTTTGGCATGTTTTCTTATATGTTGTTATCATGTTCTGTATTTGTTAATAGATCAACACGGTCTTAGTATGTAACATGTTTTTTTCTGTATGTCTTATATATGTTGTTAGGTTACATGGTTTTATAAAGAGAGTTAGGGCAAAAAAACCTAAGTTTTTATGAAAAGAATCAACTATTTGGGTGAACTGTATGAACCTTTCTCTGTACTGAACTCACAGAGCCTCCTGCCTACAGTGTTTTATTCAACCTATCTCATATTGCTGAGAGTTTGCTAGGTTACCTCTATGTAGCATGTTAGTCTCTTATGAAATCAGTCGCCTTTACTAGGGATGCTAACTGTTACACGTTAGACCTAAATAATACTGAAAAAACACAAGATGAGATTGTAAAGTTACTTTTTTATAAATCAATGAAGTAAAGTGAGTACGTTGCTCTCAACTCCAACTAACCCATTCAGCTCTATTTCCATTCATTTTCCACTTTCAATCCATCATTTAAATATGGCTAAGAACAAGACTCGCCTGCTCCTTACAACCTGTTTCCACAGCCGTCTCTCTCTTTATGCCAGAGTTTACAGTTTATGTTTGACATTGTGAGAGACGCAACAGTCAGGTCCTTGAAAATCCCCCCGTTCTCTAAAACTGAGCAACGCAGTGGCCATCCTAATTATTTTTGTAAAGAGAGAATCACTCCTCCAGCCTTACTGCCTTAGTTGTTAGAAAGCAAAAAAAAAAGCAAACAAACAAACAAAAAAATGACCAAGGGACTCCTTTGAAGGAAATAATAAAAGGCTGAATGAGAATACAAGACAGGAAGGAACTAGCTTAAGTAATGAGAAGAAGATATTTTTCTATGCTTACATGAGAAAGGTGAGTCCGCCTAGTGCCTGCTAACTTGTACAGTTTTTCTAATGGTATCTTTATTTGTCAGATTACATAAGTTAGGAGTCATGTCATGCAGAAGTTGGGCAAACTGACTGCTACTGTATATTGATTCCCATGCGCCACGTTATCAGTCAGTGAATAAAATACTTGATTTCAGCCTAGCTGTCTGATTGGCCAGACACCTGTTCAGCCCATGTGAAAGAGTCACTTTTGTTTTTTTGTGGTTGCTATGCTAACTGTCGATCACTAGTTAACTCTATTTCATTTTTGCATGTGCATACACTACTTTACCTCAGTTACTTTTGTATGAAAGACAAAGCCAGATTTTCTCTATTGTGTATTCTGCTTGTTTATTTGGAGGTGGAAGCAGAGTTATGGCAGTCATGTCACCAGTGTGCCCATATCACGGTAAAGGTCATTCTAAGCTGTTATTATTCAGAACAGGAGTTGATTATTAGAAAGTTGTAATCTGTTTTTAGAGAGGTTTACTTGAGACAGTTTTGTCAGCAAAAGGTCAGATTTCATTATTTTTTGAAACCAACAGTGAGATGAGATTTATTTCTATCAGGAATTTTAAAACCCCAAGGTAACAGAGTATAAAATCAGATACGTTTTCTGCTGTGCTCTACAAGGCGAAGTAATTGAACTTTTCACCAGAACAATCAGTGTGTTGTGAAGTGTTGTTTGCAGGTTAATATGTCTAGAATGTATACTCTGTAACGTTAGGCAGTATAGATGTGCCCGTCTTTTCAATAACCGATTGAGATGTACGGTTTATAAGGAAAACATTTCAGTTTCTGTAAAAGAGATAAAGGTATATCTCACTTGCATCATGCTTTAACTCCTTCTCAGCCCAAAAGGAAAACGGTTTAATCAAGACTGAATATGTCAAACTGAAGTGCTAAGAAGCCTGCAGACGGTTGCAACATATTTACATTAGATGTAGAAATGTGGCTCACTGCAGAAACCTCTCTCTTCTCACTGTTGCAGTATAAATGAAAAGAAACCACATAAAAGATTGTCATCCTTGTGTCTGACACAACTCAGCCCAATGTCAAGTGAGAAACTTTTGTCCTCAAAGGAGTTTGGTGAACCTTTCCCATGCATAGCTTCACTATCCGTGTCACGCCTCTTAACGCCATTACTTACATAGTTTAGAAGTACTTTTATTCTCTTTTCAGTTGACTTTTTCCTTTGTCCTTTGTGCTAATATCTAACAAGTTTTTAGAATCCACTTGTTTTGGGCTTTGCATATATGCACTGCGAACTGTTTACATTTGCAATGTAGCAAAAAGAGCCAAGCAATGAAGCATGGATTTAAAAAGACAGAACAAAGCGAAGGATGAAGGGATTCCTGTTGATGTGAATGGAGAATATACAGTATGATAGAAAGTGGGTGAGTAGCGGTGGGGGTGGGATCAAATAATGCTTGTGTTAAAGGTCAATCATCCATTCATTCCCTCTTATTAATTCTTTAATTTACCCTTTGTTTTTCGTCTTTTTATCTCCACCTGATCTACTATTTTCAGCTGTTTATCTCTGCCTTTACCTTGGTCGACAGGTCCACGGGGTTTAAATGGGAGTTATGTGATTGTGTCTTACTGTGTTGTGCTCAGAAAGCTGAGATAAACGGACAAGAATCTTGCTGCTTACGCTGACTCAGTTGGCTTTCTCTCCTACTTGAATGGCCTTTGGATTTATTGAAAGAAATTGTTACAAGGAGTAAAAATGTCCAATACCCGGTGGAAGCGGTGTTGGGATTTTCTCAGATTTTGGTTCATTTTCTAACTGGACTGACATTTGATAAGAACTCTACATCAGTTGTTTTTAAAGGTTTTCATAGGATTTCTAAGAAACAGTAGGAGGAAGATTTGTTTTTTAAAAACTGCTCTGCCTTTTTTTTTTTTTTTTATTTTGATCAAATCTGGGCTTACATCTCATCTTGATAAACCACAAGGATTTCTCAGTGGGCTGGAGACAAATTCTGTTGCCAAAATGTTTCAGTACTTTGGCTTTTGAAATGAAATCTTTTTCCCCGTAGTTACAGAATTGAAAGTAAGAAGGACATATCCTTATGTTTTTATTTTGACGGCATTTCACATTAGCGTTTACATCAGGGGGTTGTTAACAAGTGTTTTAATTTTTGTCTCTGTCAGAATGTGTTACAGAAAGCGATGCTGTTGCTTGCACTCGCTTATTGTGTTCTTATTGCCAAGGAAGGGACGACACACACTTCTAAACAGAGATAAACATGAAAAGCGACATAGTTGCAGGTACATTTTTGGGATGTACAGTATTAAACATGGGAGACTAGGAAGCTAAAGGCCAGTTTACCATTGGTCAGAAAAAAGGAACTCATGCGCACACACACACACACACACACACACACACACAAACTATGTACATGTAACCAATATATTTTAGAATGTTGTTTCTGTTCAGATGAATGGCTTTTATAGAGATTTTTTTTAGGATCTTTTCTCTCTCATGTTGTATTTTATTCTGATACCTTTTTATATGTTATTGTTTTTAGGTTTTATTTCATGCAAAAAAAAAAAGATATTTCAACAACATATTTTGACGGCCAAGAAAAGTTTGTTACACAGTTAAACTTGAAGAATAATGTTGTTGATGATGATGATGATGATAATGATTAATAAAAGTAATAACAAACATGGAAAATGGACAATGCATGTTTTATTCAAAAGTGATATGTGTAATAAAAAGACAACAACTTTAGTCTATAAAATTTGAGGGTGCTTGATACTGAAATGAAATTTAATAAACAGATCAACTCAGCAGTGAAGGCAAGCTTTTTCCAGCTGAGATTATTAAGTAAAGTCAAGTCGTTTCTTACTGTTTTTGAAATAACAGCCCAGCTCTAGAGCCGACTGCTGCGGTGCACTGCGCTCCGCTATTAATCAGCCTTCCCTTTCTCGTCTCTAACAGGTTCAAAACGCGGCGGGTCGTCTGCTGACAAGTACTTGTAAGCATGGCCGCATAACCTCTGTCCTGGCTTCTCTTCATTGGCTTCCAATTCATTTTAGAATTTAAGTTACTGTTATTTGTTTCTAAGGCATTTAGTGGATTGGCCCCTTCTTACCTCAGTGAGCTCCTGCAGTGGCACAAGCCAGTTAGATCCCTTAGGTCCTCAGATCACTTCCTTTCTGACATAGCAAGGGCTAGATACAAGGGCTGGGGTGATTGCGCTTTTACCGTAATGGCCCCAAAACTGTGGAACAGTTTACCTGTTAATATTAGATCTGCAATGGATCTGTAAGTCTTTAAGTCACTGCTTAAAATGTGTGATCCAAAGGCCTTGGAAAATAGAGGAGTTGACATGTCTCCCGTCCTTTTATTGACTGTGTCTCTTGCTCTTTATTTTACTTAATTTTTATGTGGTCAGTGTGAAGTACTTTGGTCAACAAGTTGTTTTTAAAGTGCTGCATTTTATTTGATTTAAATCTTTTTTTTTTTTTTGTGGTGGTTTAATCTGGGACTTCTGGAGCACAGAGGCAGTAATATGTTGGTAAAAGTAAAAGTATCAAATATCCCTCCTGCTGTGTTCTCTGAATGTGGCCAGTGACTCTGTCCCATTCATATACCTCTGTTCAGACCTGGTCTTCCCTTTTGCATGCCTGCTTCTATTATTTTACAAGTATCAGATAATGTTTCATTTATACTTTTAGCAAGAAGAAATAGTGTGAGAACCTGCTTTAGTCTTC